GTGGTTGGTGCACAAACTTGGATTATTGTGATGTTCAAAGGTCTGCCTTGGATTCGTATTGAAATCATTCCATCATTTTTGAGATTATATCCCATTACAGTTTTTCTCACTCTTTTGTTGACTATGAGGGCTACTCCATTCCTTCTACGGGATTCTTTCCCACAATGGTAGATATGATAATCATCTGAGTTGAATTCACCCATTCCTGTCCATTTTAGTTCACTGATGCCCAGGATGTTAATGTTTATTCTTGCCATCTCCTGTTTGACCACCTCCAGCTTCCCAAGGTTCATAGATCTTACATTCCAGGTTCCTATGCAGTATTTTTCTTTGCAGCATTGGACTTTCCTTTCACTTCCAGGCACATCCACAGCTGAGCGTCCTTTTGGCCTTGGCCCAACCTCTTCATTAGCTCTGGAGCTACTTGTACTTGTCCTCCACTCTTCCCCAGTAGCATGTTGGACGCCTTCCGACCTGAGGGGCCCATCTTCCAGCGTCATATCTTTTAGCCTTTTGTTTCTGATCATGGGACGTTCTTGGCAAAGATACTGGAGTGGCAGTGCCATTTCCTACTCCAGGTGGATCCCATCTTGTAGTTTGAGTCTGTAGTGGTCCATCATAACTGAACATAACTGAACAAAAGAATGTAACTTGAACAAAGCCTCAGAACACCATAACAGTATATAGTGCTCTGAGACACATGGAGTATAGACCACCACAGACTCACACTATCACCCATCTTGTAGTTTGAGTCTGTAGTGGTCCATCATAACTGAACATAACTGAACAAAAGAATGTAACTTGAACAAAGCCTCAGAACACCATAACAGTATATAGTGCTCTGAGACACATGTTCAAGTGTCATATTTTTCACCTTGGCCTTATGGATGTCTTCCCAGTCCTTAGCTATTTACCGGATATGTGCCCAGGTACATTTATCACTTCATTTGACTTGACTAGTTTTCTGTTCCAGGAGGAGAAAAGGAAGAAGAAGAATGGTGGATATTTCCATAAGGAAAATCTGAAAAGTCTTATGGTAGATTTATTTTCTGCCGGCATGGAGACTACTTCTTCCACTCTATGCTGGGGCATCTTGCTAATGATGAAGTACCCTGAAATTCAAAGTAAACATTTTTCATTTCATTGTCTCCTATTATTCTGGTACAAAATAATCATATTTGTTCAATAATAATCTTCATCATGTGCCATCAAGACAATTGTGACATGATGACCCTTTTCAGGGTTTTCTAGGTAGAGAGTACTCAGAAATAGTTTGCCAGTCCTTCTTCTGGGACACTGTAGATTGCCAAGAACATGAAGACTGGGTTTTCTGAGATGCGCAGTGGGGAATTGAACTCTGCACCATATTCCTAACTCAATGTGCTATCCAGTCAGCTTTTTTGAAATGGAAAGAACTGAAAGAGAACATTAGAGCACCTTTGTATTTTACCAAAAAAAGGAAGGGCAGAAAATGCTGGTAATGCCAAGGGTATCTGTTAGCACTAATGGGTGTGGATGAACTTGTGCAAACTGCTTTCACATCTAAAAATTGCACACATATTCAGCAAACTTCATTTTTGTTTCTTTCTGCAAGTCACAATTATTGTGAGCAGGTATCCTTTTTTTCAATATTGAATGAGTCAATATTTTAGTATTTACCCAGGAAAGTATTTTCTACCTGACAAAATAAAAACTCTCACTCCTTGCATTTGAGAAGCTACTCCAAGAAATACTGTATCAAATATTGCTGAGACACCTCACTGGGAGGTGTATATTTGTTTCCCTCACAAGTTAACATATAAGCAGACTTATAGGGCAAATCACAAAAGATTATACTGGTTTATAACTGACCAAGATTTTCTAAATTTGTCATACCTGACATTATCCTAGCAAATCATTAATTCCAGTATGAAAAGACAAAATTATAAGAATGTCAAAATTAATTTGGATACCTTAAATACACGTATTTTCTTTGTTGCAGTAATTTCAGTCAACTCCAAAACTTGTATTTTTATGAGTTGTGATTCTACATAAATTCTAGGTTCCATAAGCATAACAAGAAATCTGATAGTATTAAGAGCATTTAACTCTTGAGAAGTCACAGGCAACCTGGTAGTTGGTTTGTTCGTATTTTGTTTTCCCTCCCTGTATGTTTGGGTCAATGTGGGTGGGGAATGTTGCTTCAATGGATAATTGTGCCATCCAGGTGGTGTCAGGATGAGGAAAGTACACTGTACCAGTTCTGGCTATTCAAGGCCTTGTTCTGAGTTCACTAGTGTTCAGTTTCCAACCAGCCAGCCAGCCAGCCAGCTGGCTGATCAGGTCTGGCTTGAACCTGAACTGAACTAAGCTTTGGCAGACTCAGGCCCCGACATACTGCAGATACATGGTTCTTTGCAGACCCAGGACCTTCTGAACCAATAACTAAAAGGTCCTTAGCAGCTTCAGGCCCTTCCAGGCCGGGCACAACACAGTTCTTGTCAGATGCAGGCTCTGTCAAGCTGGAGAAGTTAAAAAAAGATTGTGTTTAGGCAGGTAGCAGGCAAGTCCCCAATTAGGTCCAGCTCCTGCAATAAACCACAGACTCCAGTCCAACAGGTCAACACAGTCTTATAGGTGCTGGGGGGTTACTTCACTCCCAAAGTTAATAAGTCCAGCTTGTTCAGAATGTCTCTTAAAGAAAACTTCTATGGGTTTTTGCAGGCAGGAGGCACACTGCCCTTCAGAGGCTGCACCCCCTTGGTCCATTGTCCCTGACACGAGGAAGGTTTATAACCACACCCTCCTGGGTGGCAGGACAGAAGGCAGAGCAGAAACTGCTTCAGGAGAAGGCAGGGCTTAGGTCGTGGAGGCAGAAATCAGAATGAGTGCAATAGCTGGAGAATCAGGGCTCAAGGCAGGAGGGCAGAAGACCAGCCACCTGCCTGCTTTGTCTCCAGCAGCACCTGGCATGTCTCTAGCTTTCCAGGAGCCTGACCCTTGGAGACTTGCTCCGTTTCTTCTTACCCTGGCAGTTGCTTCAGATGTTTTAGCCAGCACCCTTCATGGCAGCAAAATAATAGGTAAACTAATTTTATACCAGTATAAGAAGATGTTCCAGATGAAGAAAATGTAGCTGCTAATCTCTCTTTCCCCCTCCTATTTTAAAAAAAGGATATATATATATATAATGAAACCAACTAAAGTCAGAGCACTGGAACTCCTCAGCTAAGCTGTCAGTCAGTCAGTCAATGAAAATGAGAGGTGTTCAGATTTGTGCAACTACCAGATCGCTTAGTGGTAGGTATCTGGCTCTGAAGCTAGAGGTAGGGAATTCAACTTCCCACTATGCCTTCTTGACAAGAGCCAGACCCAATGATGCATAGGTTCCCTTCTAGATCTACAGTTCTAAGATGAAATTAAGTGTTCTGATTAGGCAGCCTCATGTAAAGTGACCATATTGGGAAATTTCTTATTTTTTTCTTCTGTGTGGGAAACACATGCTTCAGCATTTAGTCTTCACACATGATGATGCAGATCCAAAAGCATAAAACTGCTCTTGATAGCAAGGATTCTTTTGTTCCCCCAGAAAAAGTCCAGGCAGAGATTGACAATGTTGTTGGACCTGTTCAGCCCATGATTGAACACCGAATAAGAATGCCATACACAGATGCCGTGGTCCATGAAGTTCAAAGGTTTCGTGATATCCTCCCAACCAATCTGCCACGTACTACCACTGTGGATGTTACTCTCAAAGGCTACTTCATTCCAAAGGTTATCAGCTAACTTAATTGAACTCCTTTCTTTCCTGTCATCACCTGGTTGATTAAGAAATTCCTGTCAGTTTTCAACAGAATGACACTTTAATCAATATGCTCTTCAGAAGTTGGTGAACATCAGCTCCATACTGTAAAGCATGTCTAAATGTTAATTGGGTTGCACATTCCTTTAAAAATCAACCTCTTCCTTTTCAGGGAACTCATGTCATTCCGTTGCTGACTTCTGTGCTCCATGATGAATCGCAGTGGGAGAAGCCTCATGAGTTCTATCCTGAGCATTTTCTCGACTCCTCAGGAAAGTTTGTCAAAAGAGATGCATTCATGCCTTTCTCTGCAGGTACAGAGATGTGCTGATATAGAGTGGGCTTCTATACTAGGCAAGGTGACATGAAACAACACAAGAGATTATGACCCATTAAAAAATAGCTCAGGTTCTACTGCCTGATATATTCTGTAATACAATGCTAAATCCATTCCATTTACGGGGATGTAATCAATTAAACATGATGTTCTTTTTACATTTGCAAAGTTTCTTCTATGCCTTTATTACCATCAGTTATTATTTTATTAGTGTATTTCATCTGTGTCAACATACTTCATTTTGCTATTGCACAGCAATGACAAAATGAAGTATGTGGACACAGATGAAATATACATTGTAAGCTGCCAGGAATAGAATAAAGAATAATAGTTGACATCCTGTTATACAAGTGTACAAAAAGTATAACTTTTGGAAGTCAAGTGCTATAAGTGAAGAAAATTTCAAAAGCATTATCTGTTGCACAGCACAGCAAGTCACTTGGTATGCAACAGGTTTTTGTCTCTGGAGATTTTGTAACTTGGAATAATTCACTGTCCACAGATACACCATGTGTGCAACTGCACAACAGGATTTCAATCAATGGCTTGGCTTATAACTGCATAAAATATCAAAATATTAGTAACTCCAAATTTCTTTTTCTCTGGATGTTCTTACAGGTCGTAGAATGTGTGCAGGTGAGAACCTGGCCAAAATGGAGCTCTTCCTGTTCTTTACGAGCCTCCTGCAGAGATTCACCTTCCAGCCACCTCCTGGAACCTCTAAAGAAGACCTGGACCTCACCCGAGCAGTTGGGTTGACAACACCTCCCATGCCCTTCCACATCTGTGCTCTGCCACGCTGAGATGTCTCAAGATCACAGAATGCTTCACCTGTATGTTGAGCATTGATAAGCATTCTTGGCTCTGAAGTTAAATCTGATGTGGCAGCCCCTTTACTGAAAAGTGAGAAGAAGAAATGCTTAATGGAATTCACCATATAGTTATAGGAATTATGTGCAGTCCTGATGAATCCCACAAAGCTCATAGTGATACATCATTTAGTTTAAAAATAGGAATTTGTTTCATGTGGTATTAATCAGAATCAAGGCTCTGCTTATGTTTTACAGTCTCAACCTTTTATCTACATTGTGTAATTCTTCCATCTGTTTCTTGATCACATCAAGCTGTGACCGATCCATTTGTTTCTGGATCACAGTAATGTCTGACACAATTTTGACAGTGGAAGGTTTGTACATACCCGAGTACTACAGACCTGTTTGTTGCATCAAGCACTATGTACTGTAAGATTTTAAAATGGTAGAGACTTCCTTCTAGATTGCAGCATAATATTTGGCTACCTTTGGGTTATTTCCTGATTTTTGAGAATATTTCTGAGAAATACTCTTGGGAAGGTTTGTGTTTCTTGCATTTAACTTCTTTACAAAGTGAGAAAAAGATTTGTATTCTCAAAGGCTTTCACGGTCAGGATCTGATGGTTGTTGTGGGTTTTTTAGGCTCTTTGGCTGTGTTCTGAAGGTTGTTCTTCCTGATGTTTTGCCAGTCTCTGTGGCTGGCATCTTCAGAGGACTGGAGTAGGAACAGAGCATGGACAGAGTTCCT